TTGCAGAAGTCAAAAAAGATGAAAGATGGAGAAGTGTTATGGATGAAGAGATCAAATTTCTAGTAAAGAATGCAACATGGGAGAACACAACATTACCAAAAGAACATAAAGTTATTGGTGTAAAATAGGTATACAAAGTGAAGAAAAATGCAAAATGAGAGAGAAAAGTATAAGGCATGACTTGTAGCAAAAGGATACAAGCAAAAGGATACAAGCAAAAATTAGGCATCGACTACAATGAGATATTTGCTCTTGTTATTCATATGGAAACTATTCGCTTAATTATTTCTCTTGTTTCACAAAATAATTGGTCTATTTATCAAATGGATGTTAAATCTGCATTTTTAAATGGAGTTATTGAAGAAGAAGTTTATGTCAAACAATCATTGGGATATATTAAAGAAGGGCATGAATCAAAATTTTATAAATTAAAAAAGGCTATATATGGGTTAAAGCAAGCTCCAAGAGCATGGAATGCAAGAATCGATTCATACTTCAAACAAAATGATTATATCCAATGCCTTTATGAAAATGCTATCTATTTGAAGAAATATAATAATTGAGATATATTAATTGTTTGCTTATATGTGGATGATCTTATTTTTACTGGCAATAATCCACGTTTATTCAAGGAGTTTAAGCAAACGATAATAAAAGAATTTGAAATAACAGATTTTTAACTCATGTTAATTTTTGTTGGAATTGAAGTAAAGCAAAATAAAGAAGGAATTTTTATCACACAAGAAACATATGCAAAGAAAGTTCTAAGGAAATTTAACATGAAGAATTGCAATCAAGTAAGCACTCTAATGGAATGTGAAATCAAACTATCAAAGAAAGAAGAAGGGAAGACAGTCGATCCAACTATGTTCAACAGATTGATCAGAAACCTGAGATATCTAACAAATATAAGACCAGACATTCTATATGCAGTTGGAATTGTTAGCGGCTATATGAAAATCCCACTAAAACACACTTGAAGGCAGCCAAGAGAATTCTTCGATATATTAAAGGTACACAAAATCATGAACTTTTATATTCTCATTCTAACGAATTTCAACTTTCAGGATATTCAAATAGTGAATGGGCTGGAGATCAAGATGATAGTAAAAGTACAAGCGAATTTTTATTTTATATGGGTGATACTACATTCTCATGGATCTCGCAAAAATAACCGGTTGTTGTTTCTCTACTTGTGAAGCTGAATATGTTGTTACATCATCATGTGTATGTCATGCAATATGGCTAAGGAAATTACTGAAAGAGATTGGATATTCTCAAGACGAAGCTACAAAAATCTATGTTGATAATAAATCAACAAAAATATTATCAAAAAATTCAATTTATCACAAGAAAATCAAACATATTGATGTTCGTTTTCATTATATAAGAGATCAGATCAAGGATAAAGAAGTTCAAGTGGAGTATGTGAAATCTGAAGATCAAATTGCAGATATTTTCACAAAGCCATTAGCTGCAGAACAGTTCATAAAATTAAAGATACTTCTTGGAGTGGTTGATAAAAATTTTGGTTTAAGGAGTGTTGGAAATATAAATCAAAATTAATAACCAAGTTTATTGTATATCTAGGAAATTGTATGGAAGAAATATCTAGAATATGTAATAACTTTTGTGGTTGGTAGTTGAATTTTTATTATAGAAATATCTAGAATGTGTTTCTAGATTGTCTTTGTACAAGTTTAAAAAGGCATTGAGTCTTGTCATTTTGATGTAAGAAAGAAAATTTTCTAATAGAAGTTCCTCTTGTTTTTTATCCTCTTTCACTCATACAAATAATTTCTCTCTAACAAAGTGCGCTCTCTAGATAATTGTTATGAATTTGTGGATTGTTCTATGCTGAAAAACAAAAATCAACAACCCAAAAATTAGACTTCCGCTAAAAGCCAAGAAATATGCTTGGCAGCTGTCTTGTATCAGAAGCCAGAGATGTGAAAACACGCCCCAGCATAAGCCTTAAGCAGGAGAACAGAACCACGCCCCAGCATGCTCTAGAAGCTAAGCCGAGAAACAACCAATATTCTAGCTTATGCTAGAAGCCATAAACCGTAATTTAACATACAAACACGACATAACAATATAAAACTCTTTCTTTCTTCAAATCTCACAACATGGATTTAAAGAATGAGGAAAATTATTAATTCACTTTTAAAAATATAATTATTAACTATTTATACATCAATACTTAGGGGTTTCAATAAATGAACAGACCCACTAACTTGACCTAAAAAAATCGAGTTTGGGTTGACCCGTTTAATAAACGGGTCGTATTCGGATAATGTATTCCAACCCATTTATTAATGGGTTGGGTTTGGGTCATCCCACCAACCTAATTTTGACATGAAAATAACTTTTTAAATATAATCTTCTTATTTTTTTTATCAATTAACCTAATATCCATGATTAATGAGCAAATACAAAATATTGTTTTAATTAACATGGGTTATTCGGTCAAATTTGGGTAGTTAGCAGGTTCGATTTTGGCTTAATTTTTTGACCTGTTTATTAAACGGGTCGAGTTTGAGTTGACTGGATTTGAGTCAGGTCAACTTTTTGTTGGACCCAAATCCAACCCGTTGATCCATTTTGACACCCATATCAATGCTAAAGCTTAAAAAGAACTATGTAGCTAAAGATGGCTATAAAAGAATCTAAAGAACACTCAACAACAAATGTAATTTTTGGCTTCAAGAAAAAATTGGATCATAATAACTAACAATAATTGAAATTATGAAAATGTGAAAACTAACCTACAAGGAGAATACTAAGAAAGGAAAATAAAAGATTTTACATAGTTCAATGAGATTCATTTATATCCACAACCACTTATAAAGATAATTATCCATAATTCCAAAGACCAAAGCAAGATACAAAAATTTGATACTAGTATTTACCATCAAATATTTTTCTAACTTTTATTTCACTAGTATTCTTCCCTTAGTCACTCTTTCTCCATATCTCTATCACTTATTACCGCTCCAAAATCATTTCCTCGCCAAATTTTAGTACATTCATCCACCTTCTATGTGCATCCGAGAGAGAGATGAAAGCCTACCACCTGCTATGTTCAACCACTTTGCCAATCACTAGCCCCTATGACACTCATTGATTTCCTCTTAAGAAGGCCACTAGCTTCCAACAGTCTCCTCAAACCCTTCAATGGTGATTGTTAATTGCCCAATAAAGAAATTCCCTTGTTTGACACCAATCAAGATAACTACCAACCTTCAATCACTCAATTGGCCACTTCTCTAACCTCTGAATCTACACTAGGCTTAATTAAATAGAATAATGATTTATGTCATTCAACGCCATGCAATTATCTCCTTATATAACGGTTAGGTTGACGATGGTAGATAACATAATTATAGACATTTCATGGAGGGTGGTAAGTAAAAAATTTGTAGGAGTTAAGTGGAGACTAGTAGATAACATAAGTAATACATCTCGACAAATATATCACTCGGGGGTTGGTAATCTTTTATCTAATCCACCATTAAATTAAATAAAACAGTGAAGGAATTGTGCTAAAAGAGTTTAAAATAAGTATCGACAAATTAAAAAGTACTAAGGGTAGGCCAAAAAGAAATAATGATAGAAGTCGTGCAAAATGATTTGTAGATAATGGATTTAACAACCCTTGATCAATCAATGAGAGTGAATAAAAGAAGATTCAAAAAGTTGGACTAAGATTAATGATGATGATAAATATGATAAAGCGAAATTTCACCATACCACTAAAAGACGACAAGCATAACCAGTTTATCACATGGTCAACAAAGCACATGAAAGAATATGGTAACATCTTTGGGTATAGAACTCCATATTAAGGAATGATAGCATGGTAAGTTCAAGCGGGGCGACTTAAATTCAGAATTGAAGATTTAAATTTTGACTTGAGCTTAAATGTGAGTTAAGTAAAAAAAATTAATGATTCTAAGTTGATTTTTGAGTTAATTCAAGGAAAACCTAATTCATTTATAAAAATTTATCATTCCAAATTTAGATTATACACATCTATTAGTATTTAATATTTATTTATTGAGTTACATATAATAAATGTATGCGAACATTTGTATACATGTGTAGGACACCCACATTTACAAAGAGTCATCCTAGAGTAAAAACAAATCAACTTCAAGTTGATTAAGTTCAACTGATTTTCAAATAAATTTTGAGTTACATGCATAATTATCACCTCTACCCCAGACTAGACGAAGCTAACAACCTTTTAGATTGAAAAAAAGTGGGCCAAATTTCATTAATAACTACAAACCTCTCAAACAAACACAAGTCAAATCCAGATTCATTTATAACCAAAAAACCTCAGATACGCCGACACCGCAGATTTCAAGTGAAGCACAAAGCATATATCCCCCAGTTTCCAATGGGTACAAGATCAATAAGAGATAGCGGACAAATTTCAGACAATTGTCTATGAAGAAATCTCGAGTGCAAATCCACAGGTTGACAGGTATATCAGCAATTGAAAGAAACAATCTGCATCTAAATCCACATGGAGATTACAAACATGAACGTACTTCCACTAGATGGTAATTTTTAAGGTAAAGACCAAAAACCCCGGATATTTACTTGACTGAAAATAATTATTATTTGAAGAGGAATCAATAAAGCTAAGGTAACTAAACAGAGCTGACTCTCCGCAATCTGAAAGGAGCGTCACATTAGATAAATCAGCCTTCCGTCATCGCAAACTGAAATTTAAAAGCTAAACAATCTATGAGGAAAATTTCGAAAGAGGCAAAACAAATGAAATCACATATAACACAAGAAAGGAGATTCAAATAATCAGACCGAAGCTCCCAAAGGAGGAAAATAATAAGGACGGAAGTACTATCTGCTCCAACTCAAAACCAAAACCATGGCGCCTTTCTCCACCATATCTATTAGATTCCAATCATCGCATTGAAAAAAAAAAAAAACATAAAGAACAAATTGCACTATTAAATAGACATAATTACGTGGATGACGAAGGCCCAAGGATGGGATTCTGTCGCAGCGGCTGAAAAGATATTCGATGAAGAAATTTCGCAACGCATGAGCCGTATGGATTGTAATGTCCAGGGCAGTTGTTTATAAACATGACCACCAAGAAGATCAACACATTCGCCACCACGAACACATGCACGATCCACGCCGTCCATTCCCTCCCAACACTCGAATCTGACTCGTCATAGAATGGCGATGGATCCGCTGCCGCCGCAGCCGCTTGAGCGCCATGAACTTTTCCGTTCGTCGGCCGGCCAGCGCGTTCGATGTCGAGATTGGACATCAGTGTAGTTCCAGAAGTGTAGAGAGGAAAGAGAAGAGTGAGAGGAAGATGATGGAGAAGAAGCTCCAGAGGCTTCGAAGTGGTAGCTGAGTGGAAGCCGAAGGTTGTTACCAGAAAGAGGAAATCGTACTTTATCTAGTGGTGGTTGTACCGGCAGACCGCGTTCGATCTGCACCGCCAAAGGATTTGATTATTTTGGTATTTAGAATATTATGCAGAGTTCATTAATTTTATGGGAATTCAAGTTGTTTAGGATGGGCTGTCGCATGTGCTCTGCTGGGTTTTCTTCCCCTTTTCTATTTGGTTAGGGCGGCTTCAATATTTTCTTGCAGGTTTGCCTCCACCCTTCTCTTCTAACTTCATATATTGTCTTTTATTTCTCTTGCCATGGAGCCTTTTATTGGGTCACCTTTTCTTTTGAGACTAAGGTTGTAAGTGGGCCGAGCGAGTTCTTGATTTCAAACTTAATGAGAACAGGCTAATTCGCTTTAAAATTGGCTTGATTAAATTTGAGCTCTAAAGTTTGGTTTCTTGTCTATTTTAAATTAAATCGCAAAAGGGATCCTTGATCACTCAATTGAGGGTTGATCTTGTCGCGACTTCTTCTTCTTCTTCAAATACCATTGGACTCATTAATGCTTTCACCAGCAAGCTTCCGACTTCCTCACCATACTTGATGCATCCTCCAAAGAGTTCCTGTCACAACTTTCTTTCAATGTTTTCCTAGCTATCTTAAGCTCACGAGTCAAGCTTGAGCCTAGCAATAGGCAATGAGCAGAGTTCGAGCTTAATATATGAACTTAAGTTCAAACCTTCCATTAGATTGATGAGCCGACTTAAAATTAATTAGACTTGTTTACACCTTTATTTAGGATATTTTCTTCCTCTATTTTAAACCTCAATCGTATAATATTTCCTAGCCGCAACGCTCCACTACTACATCTTTCAATTTGCTTTCCCCTCCTATGATCTACATAGGTCTATCGACCCGCACATCTCAAATGTGTCCAGTTTATCTCTATCATTTGTCTCTTCCATTGAGGAAAATGTTTACCTTAACTAAAGATCAAGTAGTTCAGGTAGTCAGGGACTAAAGTTTGGTTTTGGTCAATCATGTGGTTGGTCATTAACCATTCTATGATAATCTTGTTTAAGCTATTTGGAAGCTTTTGAACCTCAAAAGCAACTTTGACTTACTCTCCCTTGCATATGGTGTCTTTTTACCTAAGTTCAACTATATAGAAGATAGGGGCATGCCTTGTTATGTTGTGAATTGTTTTCTAAATGGTCTTCCCTTTACTTTCAAGATATGATATCTATATTTTAACCTCATACATAGGATTTTAAAGAGGTACTCATTTGGATTAAGCTGTTGAGTCAACTTCTACATTGCTAGAACTAAATGATACCTCTAAAATTGTATACCACTAATCATCTTTATTTTGCAGGGAACTCAAACTCTAGGGTTTCAAACATTAGAAACAAATGAAATTAGGAGTTGACACTCTCTTATACATGTTTCTAGTATTTTACATTAAGTTAATCACCTTATATTGATGACACTTTGATGTCTTCACACTACTTGGGTTATTGAATTTAGAGGCAAGTACACATCACTCACCATAGGTTAGGCCCCACTCAAAACATAGAACCTACCAAGCATATGAGTCTAGCAAGTGCAGGGATTGAGCATATTGAACTTGTCACACTAGATATAGGCAGGTAGCTCAAACTCTTACCTAGTCAACCGCTAGACTTATTGGCGTCAAGCATGTCATACCCTTCTGTGAGTCTACATATAGTCTAGGAGCTACATTCCATGATAGACAACCTAGACATAGATTCATTATACACTTAGGTACTTAATTCTTATATTCAATTTATGTAACAACCCTAAATATAACAATATATTTTGAAATGCAATGCTTAAATTGGAGCACTGCGACACTGTGATTATAAGCGTTGAGGCACTGCCCTTTGAGCACAGTGGCTGCAGAAATCGTCGCTGCAATAATGAAGCTTATGTTTCTACAATAATTCTTGATTCAACATGCAGTGCTATGGTGTTAAGCCACTTATTATTATATATATATATATATATCATCACCCCTCTCCCTCCTTCATTCCCTTTGCTTGCCTAGGAAGAAACTGAAGGTGGGAAGAGGAAGACAAGGAAGAAAGAGAGATAGAGGAGACAGCTCTTCAGGGCATTTTTATTCATCATTTATTTTATGAAAATTATTCTATTTATAATAAGTAACTATACTCATACTTTTATTTTCGATGATTTTGATTTATATGAATTTTATCTCTCCTAAATCTTTCCAAAAATATATTATAAGTTTTTATTGTGCAACTTTTGATATGTTACAAAGTTAATCATTATGAACAGTATGATATAATTTTATTAAAATTTTACTAGTTAAAAAAGTGCATATAAATATTTTTTATGAAATGAGTAGAAAAAATGTATGCTGAAAATGAGCTGAAAGTGATGTACTATGATTTGATATGATTGATATGATCGATATGTATTGAAATATGATAATGATATGACTTAAAAGATGTATTGAGCTAATGTGACTGAAAGGATGAATTGATTGATACCAAATATAAAAAATTATCATTCTCACGTAATAACTTCGAGATTCATTTATTCACTGATGAGAGTCATAAGGAGCTAGAGATTGATTGGGAGACATAAGGAGTTAGGATGACTGATTCACATAATTTAAGGTGAGTTATAAGGAGTACATTGAGTGAGAGTCATAAGGGACGACTGATTGGGAGTCATAAGTGCATGAGCAAGCTTAAGATACCCTCAATTGAATATCTTATATAAAGATATTAATTACTGATATTAATTATTGAATATGGATATTGATATCGTATGGATATTAATATCGAGACACTGATTTCTATTATTAATTACTATTATGGAATACATATACTGATAATACTATTATAATTAATAAACTAAGGATAATGATTGAATGATATGGTTGAATAAAACTAATTCAATCATAAAGAAAGAATGATTCATTAATTTATACAGGTTATCGATACATATAGAATATATTGAATCGTAGATTTTATTATATGATTTATAGCATACTATTTCTCTTTTTCATTTTATTGATTTCAGTGATAAAATTTTAGTTATTGGCTAGGCTTTTATAATCATTATGTGGTTTTACATTATTTCAGGTAACTGTAAGAAGAATTTAGCTTGAGGCTAGGTAGTTATATTAAAATAATTTTTTTTGGTTCCTCTAGTTTATGTGTATTCTTTTAATTATAGTCAGTTGGGCTACTATACATATGATTTTGTGACTCTAGATGTAGCACGTGAATATTGATTATATTAATATGAATTATATTTTTTTCCACTATTTATATTTCTTTAATGAAATTAATCAACTATGAATATCAAATTGATCTGATTGTTAAATGAAAGATAAACAAAATAGAATAATTTGAAAAGAAAATAAAGGTAAAGGAAAAAAAATCGTTTACTTTGGATCTTGGGGCATGATAATTTAGGACATTTCCATCTCATCTTTCTTAGAAATAACACACCCTGCACTATTACACTCAACTGGGTAAATTGACAGGCATTCATGATCCAAGAAGGATATAAGTTTAGGCTTCTATCTTCTTAAGAACATTGATAATATAGTAAGGCCTTCTTGTTCATTATTTTGTTAACTTTGTTCAAAAGTGCAAAGCAATTTGTGATTATATTTTCTTTGGAAAATTTTAATTTTGATAATTTTAGGAAGTCAAATACGTCACTATGAACTATATATCAACTCGGCATGAGAAAATATCATTATCTAATGGGTTCATATTATAAAACTATAAATTTTGTCATTGTCTAATGGAAATTAATCAAAATATACAACTCAGCAATTCACTGTATGAAATCTTTTATCATTTACCATATTTTTCTTATTATATTTATTTTATTTTATAGTTAAGTCATATGATGACTATAGGTAGCGCATTTACCTAAAGGATAATGCAATTCGTAAATAAATTCTTGCTTTTAATAATCAAGGTATGATAAAGCCCAAAAATAGAATTATTTTCCTTAATTAAACTTCTCATTCAAACAATTTTCCTTATCTCTCCCTAGCCTCATTCCTCTCTTTCCCATCTTTTTCTTTTATAGATCTTAGATTTCCAGCCGTTGCAGCCCTCACAGCCCTCTCCTCCACCACTGCAGCCCTCACAGGCCTCATTTTAAAGTAACTAATAGTTATTGTTGTGTCATGAAAAATTCATAGAGACCATAGTCTGGCATTCTTGGTCAGAGAGAACGTAAATGACGGGCGATGGTGATCAAAAGAACCGTAGTTGGGTGACAATGGTTATAGTGACCATAGTCTAACATTGTTGGTGGAGAGACCATAAATGGCGGGTGATGGAGATCGAAAGAACAGCGGTCGTAGAGGTCATAGTTTGGCATTGTTGGTCAGAGAGATCGTAAATAGTGGGAAAAGGAGATCGAAAGAACCATAGTAGGGCAACAGTTATTGTAGAGGCCATAGCTGGTACTGATGGTCGAAGAGACCGTAATTGGACGGCAATGGAGGCCGGAAGAATCATAGTCCAACAATGGTAGTCATAGAGATCGTAGTTGGTGAGTGATGATATTTGGGAGTAGATACGGCGTCGATAGTATCTAGGAAGAGCTCTGGCAAAAATCAAAGAACGAACGAAAGACAATTAATTGCCAGTGGTTGGGAAGAGATCTAATAGGAGCCATTGAATTGGCGGAATTCCAACGATGGTCGATAAACGGGTGGAAGTATGGCGTTGGTCTAGAAGAACATTGATGGAGGTTAGGAAGAACTTCAATGGTGTACGGAAAGAACTATGGCGACGATCGGGAAGAACTTCAATGGTGGTCGATGGAAAGAGAGCTCTGATGACGATCAGGAAGAACTACGACGACTATTTGGAAGAACTCCAGCGACGGTTGGGAAGAAACTCTA